CCCTTATGTCTTTAATCTCTCCTTGGGCTCTTTCATGCTAACCACCAGGTCTTGTCTTCCCTTTCTAAAATAACTTTCCTAATCTGGAAGCTTCTCTAGCCATCACTGAATTTCGTCCTCTCTTCATACCGCAAGGCTTCTGCATTTGCCACCTTTAGTATTCAACTCCGACTTTTTATCAAACCGCTGCGATTTACCTTCTTTCCCTTATTCTCCACTGAAAGTGCTCCTGTAAGGCCCCCTGTGATTTCCTCTTTCCCAGACTCAGTGGCTTCTCATGCTACCCATTCTGCTGTCCACCTTCTCTGTGACGTGGCTACTCAATTCCACAGTGTCTCCTGCTTCTCTTCTCTCTTCATCCCTCCTTCTGGGTCTCCTTCCCAGGCTCCTTGCCTTTGTTCCCCTCGTAAATATTGGTGTTCCCAAGGATATTGGCCTTGCCCAAGCACTCTGATATTGCCCCGTTCTTACCTTTATCTCTACTGTTTCACCGGGGAATGTCATCTACACCATGGCTCCTATTATACCTTGTATTTGGGTGACTCTCCACTCTAGCTCTAAGAGAAACACTCTCCCCCTTGCCGGTGTGGCTCAGTTGGTTGGGTGTCTTTCTGAGCACTGAAGAGTTGCTAGTCTGATTCCAAGTCAGGGTACATATCCGGATTGTTGGCTTGATCCCCAGTAGGGGGTGTGCAGGAGGCAGCCAATTCGCGTTCTGCTCTCACATTGATGTTTTTTTCTCTCTCCCTCCCCCTTCCTCTCTCTATAAAAAATCAATTTAAAAATATTTTAAAAGAGAGAAGAGAGAGAAAAACTCTTATTGGAAACTCTAGAAGCGAATTCCCAAGTGTCAATTTGATATTTGCGGCATCTCCAATTCAACGTGTCCAACCGGAACTCATCTTTCCCTTCCCCAGACAAAGCCTGTATATCTTCTCATGTGTCTTTTCTTTGCCAATGGCAGCTCACAAAATTAAAACTCTTAAGGTTATTTTTAATTACTTGCATTTCCTCATATTCCACTTCCAACCAGTTGTAAAAATGTTTAGGTTGTACTTCTAAATCATCTCATAACTGTCTTATCCACTCCAACTCATGGTCACTAACCTGGGCCCCATTATCTGTTATCTGCCAATTGCATGCTGTTGTAAGTGGGTCTCTATTTTTGGTTATTTGGCCCTTCAATATATTGGCTACACTACCTCAAAATTTATTTTTAGTTTTTAAATTTTATTTTTCTAAAGTTCAGCCCTTATCATCCAACTTCTCTCCTTTTAACTTTAAATCTTACCATAGCTTTCAAAACAAACTAAAATCTCCTTAGTGTGGTATATGTATTTATTCACATATGCTTTCAACTGCCTCTGCACTCTTTATCTGATTCTACATCACTTTCTTAAAAGTTAGGTCAAGTCCTTCAACATGCCTATAGCTTCATACCCTATGTGTTCATACCTGTAATATTGTCCTTCCCTCCTCCTGTTGACTCTTACTCATCCGTCAAACCCAGCTTTCTCACCAAGCTAATGTGCAAGAAAATGAGCTACGAACAATGGGGCATATAAAGACATGTACAGAAATAATTATAATATCTAGTAGATAGGTTTCATAAGAGAGAAGTAATTACAGTATGAAGATTAAAGGAGGGAAGTTTTATTTGGAAGATTTCAGAGGAGAGGGAAGATTTATTCTAGGCCTTGAAAGACATAGATGGAAATGGTGGCTGTGGTGTTCTGGTGTGCAGTGAGGGTGTGTGGGGGTGTGTATGAATCAGTACTCCTTGGGGAACGTGGTGTCCTGTGAACCTGTTTTAGGATTTGGGGTTGGGTTGGGGGTAATAAGCCATGTGGGCTCTAGCCCCGCCTCCCCCCCCCCAACCCTTTCTCTAACTCAAGCAGCTCCATTCTGATCTGCCTTATGCATTAGACATTTAGTCTCAATCAGGGTGATTTTGCCTTTTGGGGGGACACTTGACCATATTAGGGGACATTTTTTTGGCTGTCCCAACTAGGGGTGTTCCTGGCATCTAGTGAGTAGAGACAGGGATTCTGATAAACACCCTGCAATGTACACGACAACTACCCTCAGCTGAGGATGAATTGTCCCAAAATGTCACTAGTGCTGAGGTGGGGAGACCCTGAGTTAGACAAACACACAGATTTTACGTCAAGAAAAAATTCTACAGTTAAATCAGAAATTACAGGTGGAAGCCAAAGCACAGAAGCAGCAGTGTGCTGGTCTTGCTCAGGAAAAAACAGTAGTTCTGTGAGGCTGAACCCTATAGCGTGGAGATAAGGCTCCAGAGAGATGGCAAACTCAGAAAACAAAGGAGGGAACTCTGAAGTGGCAGCGTTCCCATTGTATTTCATACAACACCGTGGGGCTGTGCACCTCGGAGTCCTGCCTGGAGGGTACTGAGTGCAGCTGATAAGCTGGTACTGTGCTCTCTGGAGAAGAGATGGTATGCAATTACACATTTGCTGCTCAAGATTAGATCAGATCCGATGAAAATTTCCCACCAACCACGCTGAGGAAAAGGGAGGGGCTGGCTTTTAAAGCTATCGTCATGATCAGAAAATAGTTATTGGGGCAGACTCAGTGCATTCAGGTCTATTTTAAATATTTTACATTGATCATCTCAGTGTTTCTCCTCTCTTGTAAAGTAGGTACCATTATCACTGTTTAATGGACGAAGGCCTGGGAGTCCACAAGGTGCCCCAACTTGCCCTGCATCAGGTCAAGGGCACGTGGCTGAGCTGGGATCACGGCTTCCCGAGACTAGACACTGTCCTACTGAAAAGCACAGGGTGTAGGCTCATTATTCCAGGACTGAAGACTGGGCACAAGTTCTTTCTTTTTCTTTTTTAAAATCCAATTTGGTGGGCATTCCTTCAAGTAGAGCAATGGTTCTCAACCTGTGGGTCACAGCCCCTGAAAATACATCCTGCATATCAGATATTTACATTACGATTCATAACAGTAGCAAAATTACAGTTATGAAGTAGCAACGAAAATAATTTTATGGTTGGGGGTCACCACAACAGAGGAACTGTATTAAAGGGTCGCGGCATTAGGAATGTTGAGAACCACTGAAGTAGAGGATTTAAAATCGGATTTGTTTGTGGCATCGCTAGGAACAGAGAGCGACACGAAGAAGAAAGAGAAAGAGCTGTGGGTGAGGAGGGAGCCTTTTGCCACTGTCATGGAGACTTGTCCTCCTGCGTAAATGAGGGATTAGACAAAGTCCGCGGCTCTTTCTCCTTCGCCCAATAAAATCTTCAGTGACATTTAAGGACTTATGCCACTGCCTGGAGCCCAAACCCAATTCCAATTTAGTTGCTCTAGAGTGAAGCCCTGACACCTGGTCTTTTTAAAAACAAAACCAAAAGGGTGGCCTTTTCTTGCCGCCAGGATGGAGAATGCTTCAGTACATCCAGTTGCTTCTCTACTTTGGTCTCACCTCAGTCCCTGAGGCAGGCGGACTCCTAGGGCACTTTATAAAGTGTAGCTGAATGGATAAAAAAACAAGACCCATGTATATTCTGTCCAGAGAGACCTACCTCAGGACAAAAGATACACACAGACTAAAACTAAAGGGATGGAAAAAGATATTTCATGCTAATGGAAAGGAAATAGAAGCTCCGGTAGCAATATTTATATCTCACAAAATAGACTTTAAAACAAAGGCTATCATAAGAGGCAATGAAGGACACTACGTAATGACAAAGGGGGCAATCCAACAAGAGGATATAACCCTTGTAAACATTTATGCACCCAACATAGAGGACCTAATTATGTAAATCAAATCTTGATGGACACAAAGGGAGAGATTGATAGTAATACAGTCATAGTAGGGGATTTTAACCCTCCAGTGACATCAGTGGCTAGATCTTCCAGACAAAAGACCAACCAGAAAATGGTGGCCTTCAATGACTCACTAGATCAGATGAATTTAATTGATATCTGCAGAGATTCTCTCCCAAAGCAGCAGCATATATATTCTTTTCAAGTGCACATGGAACATTTTCTAGGACACTAGTAGACCACATGTTAGGACACAAAAGAAGTCTCAATAAATATAAGAAATTGAAATCATATCAAGCATCTTCTCTGACCATAATGGTATGAAACTAGAAATAAATCATAAGAAAAAAAAACTGAAAAATACACACAAACATGAAGGCGACATAAAGTGACACGAACAGCACAAGACTGATTTCTATTCAACAAGGGAAAAAGGGTGGTCTCACTTCTTTATCTCTTCCTCATGCTATTTGGCTGCAAAACTAACCTTTCAGACAGCGCACAAGCATGCACAATAACATAAAAACGTAAGTGGGGCAACTGGGAAGAGGAGACAAAGAAGGGAACGGTGGAATCTGAGGCTGTCCCTCCCTCACCAGTCACTCGGTGCTCCCTGCTGTCACAGCTCTGTCAGCCAGCCAAGAAGGGGCTGACACCCTCTAGTAAAGATTCAATTGCTTTATGAGTAATCGGCATGAGACGAGCCAGGAAATAGGGTAGGCAGGGCCAGGAAGAAGTTTATGAACGCATTTGGGAACCGTCCTAGCTTGTGGGCAAAAGGGAATTAGACTTCATTATGTTTTACCATCATGCCACCTAAGAAGAAGCTATGGTGACACTATCAACTCTGTTGCCCTTCAATTCCCCCAACTTGTCAATACATTCCTGCACAGTCAAAGCTAGTGTTGGATATAGGAAAACGAGAAGCCACGCTAATAATAATAACTATTTTTACCTCTGCTATTTCTATTCCTAGTAGCACCATTAATACTACAGTAGTCCCTCTTTATCTGCAGTTTGCTTTCTGCTCTTTCAATTACCCACAGTCAACCATGGTCTGAAAATATTAAGAAATATTTTGGAAAATTCCAGAAATAAATAATTCATAAATTTTTATTGCACGTCATTCTCAGTAGCATGATGAAACCTTATGCACGCTGTATGTAACAGTACAATTAGATATTTAGAGAGAGATCATATTTACAAAATATTACCATATGTTGTCATTGTTCTATTACTAGTTATTATTGCTAATCTCTTACTGTGCCTAATTTATAAATCAAACTTTATCATAAGTATGTATGTCTAGGAAAAAAAACCGTATATCTAGGGTTTGGTCTAGCCACAGTTTCAGGCATCCATGGGGGGGTCTTAGAACGTATACCCGTGGATAAGGGGGCTACTGTGTTACTTCTGCTACCATTATTAATATCATAGTTGGTGTCTGTTGTTTTGAAAAACTGCAGAGATCCCTCCCTATTCAACAGACCCTCTCCCCTTAAAGCTAGAAATCCTACCTTTGCTGATTACTTCTTTCTGCCTTATTTCTTGCCAGAGTGTTTTGAAAATAACATTATGTTTCTGAGAGGAGGTAACACGTTCAGTTCCAAATGTTTGGGGTGAATTAGACAGCGAGATTGTTTCTTTCTGGCCTGGAAAAACGGCTTCGGAATCACCTGTAGAACGTGTAGCAAAGTTGCTGCAGAGAGAGGGCAGTCAGGGTGGGGAGGAAGGGCAGGGTGCCCAGAGCAGAGGCTAAACTCATCAGAGAACTGATTTCTGCAGCTCCCCAGGCGGCCAGCCCTGTGACAGGAAACCCATTGTTCTGAGGCCGCTGAGCCCGCACTGGGCATGGGGACTGTCTGAAGTGGTGGCCGCAGAGAGGTCTCTGAGCATCTGCACCGCAGACTTCCTGGCTCGTCTGCCAGAGGGCGATGCTTTTCACCTCTCACCCTGCAGAGCTTATGCGCTTTCCCAGGAACCTTGCAAGGTCTTTCTCCCAGCTGGCGGTTCCTTCAGGATGCCCACACCTCCTCTTCCTTCACAATCAAGGAAGTGACTACGCGGACCAGTGTCAACATTCCAGCACTTACCAGATGCCTTTCCCATTCTTCTGGGGGCTTTAAAGTCCAATACAAACAGCAGCTGAGATGGGCTTTACAAAAGAGGTGTGCTCAGGAAGAGGGGCGTGACAATCGATCATTATTTTGTATTTCATAATCTAATATGGTCGGATAGCAAAGGCTTTGTAAAATAAAGTCTCCACCATCACGAATGTATTTCACGAATGAAGCCACACTTCACTGGAATGATTTTTTTAGGGTAAATATGGACACTTAATACTGTCATTTCTGAAGGGGAGGGTTGGGTATTGTTATATGAGGGCTTTAGGCAGAAAGCAGGCTCTGCCTCTGTGCACACTGCCGGGTCAGTGCACCCCAGCCCTGGCCCACCAGGCATGGGAAGAGAGTTTGGCCCAGATGAACACCGGTCTTGTGACTCGCGGCTTGAAGTGAGTCCCAATCCTTTGCCTTTTCCTATTGTGACAACTGTGACTAAGTCATTTAATTTGGATCCCAATTTCTTTTTGAAAACTGGATGGAAAAAACCCCTCCAGCTTCCAACTTGTGGTCAAGTTTAAAATGTGATTAAAAGTAATAACATGTTTGGTTTTTTAAAAAAATTGGTTTATCACAAACTGCTATGGCAAACAGAGTTAGTACTGCTATTTTAATTTATTAGGAGTAGGATTGTCATTCACCAGTGTAAACGAGGGGGGGGACGGGGGGGGGACGACTTCAGTTAGATCTCAGATCTAAAATGAAAGCAAACGGTTCAGAAATGGACATGAGACAATTGAGAGGTAAATAGGTCTACACAGGGAGATAAAAAACAAACAACAAAACAAAACAAAACAAACAAACCAGAGACACAGAATTAGATAACATAGAAGAAACTGTGGATACAAAGGCAGAGAAGTGAGAAGAGAAGAGACATGGAAATGAGAAGTTCCAAGACAGACTCTGAAGCAAAGGTGATGACCTCACCCTTCACTCTTTGCTGAAGATGGAAAGGCTAGGAAGGTGGGGACAAGCTTTTCCATAGGCAGCAGCCTCCATGGACTTAAGTCATCATGTCACTCCCTCTTGGATCTTCTCTGCCAGGATCTTGACGACCCACGCATGACACATATGCACATATGTTTTTGGAATTTTGTTCTCGAATGGCTAAGCGGGAGCTGGCATCAAGCCTAGTACTTTTTCAGTCTGAAGTCTAGAAAGAAACAGCCATCGGACATTTCCTCTCCCACCCGCGGCATCTCCCATATTTCCTTGGCCACGAAAGGGCATCCGACATTCTTACCTGGAATGGTTATCTCCCCCTCCTGCTTCCATTCCACTTTGCTCCAGTTCACATTGATCTCACTGCAGCAGTTCAGAGACACGGGACTGTTGTCACATGTCACCTTCATGTCTTCACTTGCAAAAATTCGGATGGGGGTCACATTAATCTTTTTTCTGGACTCATATTCAAAAATATCCATGGTCAGTTTGCAAATATATTCACCTGCACGGAATACACGGAAGCATTCGTTACTATGAGTTGATTGCTATTGATACTTAGAAGAAGGACAGCCTCGGGGCATGTGTCATGACAGTGCTTCGAGAAACATCCTTTTCAAACGCATCTGAGACTTGGTCTAACAGCCCTGAATAACGTTCAGGAAGTGCGAAGGCCAATGAAGGTACTTCTGATGCCACAAGGCGATCTCACTCTTGTTTCTTACTGGTAAGTAAAACGTGTGGGGGTGACAGAGGTGGGAAGGAAACACAGGAAAGCCTTGGAGAACTGGAAGACTGGGTAACTCTGGCATTCTACTGAGCTCTGTGGCAAAATCAGAATCCACAAAGATGTGATAGGACCCAGGTGTCTGCCACCCAACGTCATTCACAGAAAAAGATGCCCCTGTTAGCCTCTGGACTCTCGGGGGCTTATTAAATTCTAGGATGTCAGGAAGACTTGTGCTCTGAGGGTGCTGGGGAGAGGGGCAAGGAGGGGCAGGTAGAAAGGCTTGCAATGGAGGACAAGGAAATTTTGAGGGGAGGTGATGGAAATGCGTACTCTCCCGATTAGGACGATAGTTTCAGAGCTACACATAGATCAAAACTTACTAAATTGTTCACTTTAAATATGCACAGCTATTATATGTCCATTCTACCTCAACAGAGCTGTTTTAAAATTTTAAAGAATTAAGAGCATAAGTCTGTTTTTTTTGTGTGTCAGGTTTCAAACTCGTAAGTTTCAGTAAATGTGGAAAGCTATACTTGTCTCCCAAGCTAATTTGCTTGGCTTGATATGCCATGGGATTGATTTTCAATTTGGAAAAGTCGAGCCTGGTGACTCCTTTTTGAAGATGAAACACTCTCTATACGTTCTTAAGTCTGTTTTCTTGGAGCCCTTCATCCCCCCCCACCAGTGAGTTGCTGGGCGGACACCCACCCGCGTCCCCCAGGGTGATGTTGAACACGGTGAGGCGCGACACGGAGGTCAGGTTGTTGAGCACGGTGGTGTACACCCAGAACCGGCTGCCGTTCTGGATGTTGGCGTGCCTCCCCACGTGGTGCCAGGACACGTTGGAGGACAGAACGTCGTTTTCGCACACCAGAGTTACCGTATCCCCTTCAAAGATGATTTCGGGTGTGACAAAGAACCTGGTTTCATCTGGAAACCCAAAGAAAACAATTAGTAGGGTTCCAAAGCAAGTAAAGGCAACTACTACGACTCACCAGACACCACTCCACAGGGTTCTCAGGAGGTCGCCACAGCATCTCATCTGTGGTGCTCTCTAGACGGAGGCAACACGTCCTCCTCCCTCCATCCCTGGCAGCTGTTCTCTGCGGCCCAAGGAGTGAGAGCCCGCCAGTTTTGCACGACTAGGGACAGGACTTCCACTGTGGGGTCTTTGCACACTTAAGAGTCCCCAGTGGCAGTAATGGGGATCCCAACTATATTTTTAATATTTCAAATAGTCTGGCAGAAAATTGCAAGCTACCTTGGGAGGTGACTTAGGGGAACAGTAGCTACTGTTACTGTTTTCACAGTAAAACTCTGGAGAGCCATTGCATGAAGTAATCCCCTGGATAGAGACACACAATTTGTTATTTCTGTATGTCCTTCTAAGGTGGCCCTGTTTTTACACAACAGGCGGTTCTCCCTCTAAGTTGTGTCTTGTGCATGTCCCTCCTGCGGTCCATGAGAGGAGGGGTTGGAGGAGCTGGGTAAGGAGGCACTATGAGCCTCTTTTGCATGGGCTTCCTGCTCAGACCAGACTTCTCCACACTGTAAACATGGGACTCAAACACCTTAAGATTCATTCCAGGTGGTCTGATGTTCTGATCAAAATGTCAAGGTATCTAAATATTTCTTACCATTTTTTTAGGTTCTTATTTAGGTTTAAGATTTTTTAAAAGCATATTCAACCATTAGGAATCAAGGCCACCTATGAATAGTTAACACAGTGAACTGGCTTTGAGGTCACACACACTTGTGTTACTTACTATATGTCCTGGAGCAAATTATTTGCCCTCCCTAAGCCTCCATTTCCTCACCTGTAAAATGAAGATAGTAATATTTGCCTCAGGGAACATATAAAGATGAAATATGTGGAACACACTGGGCTTACCATAGAAAAGATACAATAATAGAGCCCTCTTTTCCTTACTATCATTGCTAATAACTATGACTAGTAAAACCGCCAGAATCATATGATTGTATAGAACTGATCATAAATTTATTGGCAGTGATTAAAGAAAGGGATGTCTAGTTAAGGGACCCTGCTGATGAATCGAGGATCATCAGAGGGTTAACATATGACAAAACCAATGGAACTGTTCTAAAGATTGCCATGAGCTTTTTGTGTTTCATAAAGACAGATTTAAAAATGGGTTCCTGCCCTAACCAGTTTGGCTCAGTGGATAGAGTGTCGGCCTGCGGACTCAAGGGTCCCAGGTTTGATTCTGGTCAAGGGCATATACCTTGGTTGTGGGCACATACCCAGTAGGGAGTGTGCAGGAGGCAGCTGATTGATGTTTCTAACTCTCTATCCCTCTCCCTTCCTCTCTGTAAAAAATCAATAAAATATATTTTTAAAAAAATGGGTTCCTGATACCAACTCATTCACTCAGCATTTTTCTTTCTTGTTCTCTTCCTCTCCCCTGTCCCTCAGATACAATTTTGTAAAAGCACGCAGGCACTTGAATTTTTTGATATTTGTATTCTGGGTAAACACCACCAATACTATGGAGAGCAGGGCGGTATCTGCGCGCCCCATGGAATTGCACAAAACATAAGTTCATGTTTCGTGGTCTAAGGCTGAGTACATCACAGACTCACATTCTGGTCTTTGAAGGAGGACAGAGATGGATGTAGATCCTCTGCAGAAAGGGGAGTCGAGTACCATTCCCAATGACTTCATTGCTCTTTGGAAGAATAAGCCATGGATACTAAAGCACCTTTATTTCTGGACTGACAGCCACTGATCAGTAAGGCTGCTGCATCTTATTCATTTAAATGTCTGACTATCCTCAGCACAACTGGGGAAATAGTAATACTTGAAGAACACCTATGCAAGAAACTACTCCTCTCTTATGCCCTCAGAACAATAAATAAACATAAATTTTCAGGGGTGATATTAGGGGTGAAGATGTGGCATTGCTAAAATTGCTTCTGTGTGAGTCCACACTTTTAGGCCACTTATTCCCCCTTTTTTTTCAACTTTCTGGGTTTCATTAGTTTGTTCTGAAATTTTCCCTTGTTTATCCTGAATTTTTATTTTGCTCTTTTATCTTGCATCTGTTGCAGCACTTTCTTACCATTGTGTATATCTCTCTCAATATTTTATTTTTTTAAAAGATCCGCTGTTAAAAATACCAGCAGAGACTGTAAAGAGAAAGAGCACAAACCTGCTGTGAGGACAGCCTAACCGCTGAGAAGGGCGCCCTTCCTCCCAGTTGTGCCCTTGGCCCTCTTTGCACTGTCCTCGGCCACAGTGGACCACGCTGGCCAAAGAGGAACTACCTTTACTTGGGAACCATGGGCCTGTGTTATCCAGGACATCTACCGGCCAAACTCCGGCCGCCAAATCTCTGCCCGGCCAGCTCCCCTTGCTACCCCTTGGACAACAATATAGGTCCACCCACCTCCTAACACAACAGAGCCCAGCCCTGTACCCCATTTGTAAAATGTAGGAGAACATCTAAAATCCCAGGACTCTCACCACTGTTAGATGTGATCCAAAGCAGGGGTTCTCCAACTTTCCTGAGCATCAAGTTGCCTGGAGGGCTTGTTGAAACAGATTGGCCCGGCTTGGTCTGGGGTGGCCCCAGGAATTTGCATTTCTAACAAGTTCCCCTGCGGTGCTGATGCTGCTGGTCTGGGGCCACACTTTGAGAACCACTGCTCTAAAATAACAGTGGCCCCCTATTTCATACCAGGGCACTTCATGAATATCCCAAACTGCACCACCATGTTGGTTGTATTTTTTGGCTATCTTGGGCCTGTTACAGTAATTTTTAAAATCCATAATGGCTCTGTGGCCCCCTTGCAAAATCTCTCCCCTGGCAACCTCTCCCCCAACTACAGTGAATTAGCCTTGTTGAGAGGCTGTGCACCAGCCTAAGGCAGGGAGATGGCACATAGACCTCTATGCTGGGGACCGGAGACTCTCCCCACAGGGGACATCACAATGTAATTTCGTAGATTTCAGCATAACAATAAACACCCTTGTCATATCCAAATGGAATCATTGCACAGGAAAAAAAAATGTAGCAACGTCTACTTACTACTAGTCACTGCTTGGAAGGAAGTGAAGTCCATCTTGTAGGTCTGATTGAGGTTCTGTGTGACCAGCTCATTCGCTCTGTGCATTAATCCAGGGGATGGTGTTGTAGTTCTGATTTCATATGCCACAACCACACTTCCGGGCCTGGACGGAGACCACGCAGTTCAGTAAAGCAGTGACTGACCTGGAAGAGTCTAGATCAGCGGTTCTCAACCTGTGGGTCGTGACCACTTTGGCAATCTAACGACCCTTTCACAGGGGTCGCCTAAGACCATCCTGCATATCAGATATTTACATGACGATTCATAACAGTAGCAACATTACAGTTATGAAGTAGCAACGAAAATAATTTTATGGTTGGGTCACAACATGAGGAACTGTATTTAAAGGGCCAGAAGGTTGAGAACCACTGGTCTAGATCCTTATGGTTTATTTGTATGAGAAAACAAAACGGCAGGAAGGGTTCACTGATCTCAATGTGTTTTCGAACTCTAATGGAAAGCCTGAGGCGGGGAGTGGACACTCCACTGTATGCAGACAGGTGACATAAATAACAGAATAGCCAGACAGGGGTGAGTGAACGAATCACATAAACTGGCCATAGAGTGGCAGCCACATGCAGGGAGTTGTCCTACAGCCATGCTGGCCCAGGGTTACCAGAGAAGCTTAATGTCAAGTGAAGCCCAAATCCTCACTGTCCCTGTACACATTCTTAACTTTTAACATTGGCAACCAACTGTTCGAAAAACTGTGCAAACCCTCTCAGGCCGGCCAGGGTGCCCAACTCTAGGGGGCACCACCCACATTGCAGCAGCCTGCACCTGTGGTCCTGGCTGGCCAACTTTTCTGGAATAAATGCATCATTGTGTGACATTATTTCACTTTTATATTTCTGAACTCCTTAAACTACAAACTTACCCCATATCTTTGTAAAACTCTTGTGTGCATAGAATGAACACGAGTCCTTTTTCACCTTCCTTCTAAGTAGCTGCCTCTGTAAGGAGTGAGCTACAATTCTCAGTATTTCTGCCACCTTCAGCCCCAGCATTCTGCCCCTGTTGAGTGTCCCAGTGACGCCCCTCTAACAGGCTTTTCCTCCTTCACTGATGTGTTGGTCTGTGCCATTAGATAGAAATGACCCAATTACAGCATTCTTACCTGAACCCTGTCACAGTCACCAATTTGAAGCCAGGTAAAATACTGTAACCTTTCCAGAACTGAAAAATAAAGCAGACAGTGTCATGTAGCAAGGTCCAATGACAGAGATGTCAAAGATTAGAAACAGGGTAAAAAGCACATATTCCTGTTCACCCTGAGAGAAATCTCCTCCTGTGTATGTTGTTAGCTCTGGCATCAGCTGATCTCTGAAGAAGTCATTCCTATTATCTACCTCTGAAATTCTATGTTCTCTAAAAAGCAAACACCAGGTTAAATGTAGAAACATTTACTCAGGAAAACAACTAGGAAAGAATATGGGGGCCTTGCTGGTGTGACTCATTGGTTGAACGTTGGCTCATGAACCAGGAGGTCATGGTTGGATTCCCAGTCAGTGTGCATGCCCGGATTGCGGGCTCATTCCCTAGTAGGGGGTGTGCAGGAGGCAGCTGACCAATTATTCTCTCTCATCATTAATGTTTCTATCTCTTTCTCCCTCTCCCTTCCTCTCTCTAAAGTCAATAAAAATGTATGTATTCAAGAAAAAAGAATATGGGAGAGGCAGCAGGAAGGCAGAGAGAGCCATTTAACCCCAAGTGGGAAAGAGTGGGAAGGAAGGTTGGATGAAACCATCCTAGACTGCGTGTGGCAAGGTTTGGGAAGGCCTTCCAAGAGGTCTGTATCCGGAAGATGCAGACCTTCTGAACTCATTCATTAGTAGTGAGCAACAAGCACTGTCATGGCCGTCAGAGGCAGCAGCTGGGGCCCTTGGTCAATTACATTCCCTGCAGTTGGAGATCTAGGAGGTACACTCTTAAGGCCACCGCACTGCCTCATGCCTCACTTAACATATTGCAGTGCTGGTTGAGCCAATGTGGTTTATGATGATGTTTTTACCAAAGTTCGTTCCTCTGAATACCAACCCGATAGGAAATTCAATTTGACTCAAGTCACATGTACAGGACAGATGCGATGTGCAGAGCACTCTGTACCAGGTACCTGCATGGGGGGATCCAGAGTTTAGTATGTAACTCTCTTCCCCAAACGTACATGATTTTGCATGTGGTTGTGTGTATGAGAAGGACTCTCATGCTGTGTAGAACTATTACATGTCAGATATGTAAATCAGATGTCCAAGAGCTCTATGGCATCAGCACTCTAACATGGCACCTACGGAAAATGGTAATATTTGTGTGGCACACTCAGGTCAGCTCCTGGCCTGCTCCTGGATGGAGGCAGGAGCTCAGCTGCCCAGAGAGTTAGGGAAGTCATTATCTCAGGCTACCTGTAATAATTTGTGCCACACCAGTTGGGATGGTCCATTCCAAATAAGTTAATTCAAGTAAAGCATTTAGGTTTAGATAAAGTCATCCAATGTAATGCACTGACAATAGTGTCTGGCACAAAGTTAACAACTAAGGAAATAGTCTCTAATTTCATGGGAGTAAATTTAAATCTGGCTTAAGTGTAAATGCCTATGAACTGTTAGCATAGAGTGATTTGGAACCCTCTCTGCCAGTCTTAGGCTGATCTGCCCAAAAGATGTTAGTAGTTTCATCCATGTGCTGTGTGAAAACAAATAGAAATGTACCATCAAGTGCTTCTAGATCAAGCTCTTGGGTCTCTGAATGGGTTTCAGTTAGTTTACCAGTATTTCACCAAATCGTATCTGAATCAATTCTATCCTGAAAAGAAGTCCCACCTAAAGGTCAAGATGATGTCCAATCATCCCCTGAACACTGATTTCAGCTCTTCTGAATTCATCATCCCAGAAGTACAGGAGTGATTTTAATATCCACATTCATAAATTCTGACAGATCCAAGCAAACTATCCACAGTCAATGCGATAGATTTAGTGCAGCCCGAAGTTTGTTTGGTTCAGAGGCCGGTGAGGCCAAAACCTACCGCTGTTTCCAAGTCAGTCTTGTAGGACCTATAGAGGGCAGAGGAGGTGTTCCTGAGGTCCTCTTGAAAGCCCACGTTGAGTCTGACTGACATTCTCAGGGTTATTTCTGAAAAAAGGGGGCAATATTTAAAAATCTCATGTTAGCCTTTAAGAACATGCAGGACACAGAAACATTTGCTTGATCTGATACCAAATAGCCACTCAGCAAATGAACATTTAATGAGCAGTTACTTACCTCTCTGGAGCTGGCAAAAAGGTCCATTGGGAGGCAGCCCTTTAAGGCAATTGCAACGCCCTGCAGGGGCGTTGTCATGCTCTTGACAAGTGAGATTGTGAAGGCACTGCTCCTGAGGCCACCTGTAGCCTGACTCGCAGGAGCACCAGATTTCATTTCCAGTAGGTCTGCAGACTATCGTCAACCAAAACAGGGAGGAGAGAGAAGATGGTCACCACTTTTGCATTTATAAATTGCAAGTATAGACTAACTCCACTCCATATTGCCCTTCTGAGAAGTTTAAGAGTACTGCATGAGATTCCCATGGCTCCTGTATGTATCACCATGCTATTAGGCCTAAGCATATAAAAGATGACTACTCCAACTAGCCCAAGGCATGCCTACAATCGTGATACGAGAGATTTCTGACATCCAGTAGCCAGCCTCCAAGATGGGCCCTGACTATTCCTGCCTCTGGGTATTCACACTCTCATGTAGTTCCCTCTCATATTGTACTGGGGTTGGTCTGGGTGACCAATAGATTATAACAGAAGTATTACTTCTGAGATTAGGTTATAAAGACACTCCGGCTTTCACTTTGGTGGCTCTCTCTCATTCTCTCTTGCACCACTTGCTCTGGGGGAAGCCAGCTGTCATCACATGAGACTATGTCATGACATTTCACAAAACCACAGAGTGAGGAACTGAGGTCTCCAGCCAACAGCTAGTGAGGAACTGAGGCCTGCTGGGAATCACATGAGAGAGCTTGGAAGCAAATTTTCCACCCCTAGTTGAGCCTTCAGATGACTGCCCCTCTTGCTGACAGCTTGACAACTTCATGAGAGACCCTGAGCCAGAGCCTGCTAAGCTTTTCCCAAATTTCTGGCCTTCAGAAACTGTGACATGTTTGTTGTTTGAACGCTAAGTTTTGGGGTAGTTTGTTACACAGCAATAACAAATGAAGAGTACAAGCAAAATTGTGCCTTTTACATTTCATGTCAAATGTGAGCAGCCCAAACAGACTCTGATACTAAGGGGACACTGAAAACAGAGAGCTGAATTTATTTCTAAAACTGGACCAAAGTCAAATCACCGGGAGCTGTTTTTTTTCTGCAGACGGGCACCTGGGCAAAGGTTCAACAGAGTGACTCTCCAAAAGAAAGCCGTGAGATAATAGTTCCTGAAGTAAGAGGAACAACTGAGTCCCAGTGAGTCCTTGGATGCTGATGCAGCCCTGTGCTCTGGAAGTCGTGGGAGCTGAGCAGAAGCTTAGGGATCAGAGGGTGTTCAGGCTGCTGGTGGGGGTGGGGGAATTTGAAGGGAGCCAAAAAGACCCCCTTGTCAAAATCTCTCTTTTACTGACCTGAAATCCACTGTGAAAGCATTTTTTGTTTGTTTTTTTGAGAGGGATGTGGGGGTAGTATTTGAAGAACTTTTGACGCCCATGTAAAATACAAACTTGCTTTAAGAGGATGACAAAAGCTATCATCACCAGACCACCTACCACATTCCAGATATTTGGTGCTTTACATACACTGTCTGGCCCTTAGTTTTGTTTGCTATTATTAAAAATGTCTTCCTTGAAAGGATCATAAAGTAAGCTGTTGGAAGAATGGGCAGGGAGAGGCATGGGAAGAGGGGAATGGAGAAAATTTGGGGGTGCTTAGATATTAGTTTCATGTTCAATAAGTCTAATCTTCATTGCCCATCCATCTCATCCACTCCTTCTGAGGTCAACTCTCCCCAGCTTTCCCCTCTGGTCCTGAGGTCCTTGAGCCACAAGCTCTCAGTTAACTATCAGGAAGTTGTCACCCCTTCAACATGTGAATAACCAGTCTTGCTGGCAGGATAAATTAAGCTTTCCCAGGGCATTTGCATCTTAAAAGAGAAACTTGCTAATTTAAATTGTAAATTTGTTAACCCAATTTGTAAACTTGGGTTAACAAATTTCTAAAATGGCATAAACAGTGGAGCCCCTGAAATCACACCTCCTCTAACAGAGCAAGACAAACCTAGGAGACTGTCTTAATATGTCTATATTGAGTGTACATAACATTAGCTCACAATGAAAGTTCAAGTGTTAACAATCACAACCTGTTCGACAAAAATGAACAACTTATATTTGATACTTATTGGTACATTTTGTTTACTAGAGTAGCTTTCTAGTACTCAAATAAATACCAAAGGTTTCCATTAAAAAACTATTGGGAAGCAAAACAAAATTGACTAAAAATATATCAAATTATTAATTTTTCCCATAAATAGGGGAGACAATTTTAGATGCAGATCTGTGCTGAGTGGAGACATGGAAAGATGTTTCCTATCTTGCTCCAACATAACTGGTTTTGTGAAATATTCTATGGAAGAGTCCTTTTAATAAATACATTTGAGGAACATTGTTGGTGACTCACAATGCATTCGATCAGAGAACCTCATGGTAACTCAAGGAAATTAACGCTAATGCAGAATTTGGTGGGGAATGGAATCCAAAGGGAGCTTTACGGCAGCTCTTTCAGGTTCAAGCAGCATATATTAAGAGCTAAAAATCAATATGCAGACTGACACTGTGATAGACTCTTTAAAATATTAGAATTCAAAAAGATTTTAAAAAATAAGAATTTTATTCTTGTTACTATTTTAGAATAAAAAAGCCCACATCTTAGTGCTTTGCAATTTACAAAGCAGTAACCTTGTATAACATAAAGGGCAATCACATCTCACAGCTGCTATGGCATAGAGGTGATGGTCCCCTGAGACATAGGAGAGCTATCATGACCTTGGAAGGGAGTCAATGACCAGAAAGTCCAATCCCATCGTCTGGGAGGTCCTGCTTAATGCCTTACTGCTGACCTAGGCATGTACCTGGTTCCTATTTCCTGACCTATGATGCCAAAAAAGAAGGGAATTGCTACTTATCAGTCTCCTGAACTCATACTTGCCATATCCACTGACTGCCCAGGGTAAGAGGATCCAGTAGTTTTCATGGCCATATCTTGGGACCACTTTGTGACAAGCAACAAACAAACCACTAAGTAAACATGCGGTCACCATTTAAAATAAGCAAACTGGCTGCAGAGTTTACCAACAGGGATTTCATCTGGAAGGCAACGAAGTAATAAAATCACAGGTCAAGCCTGTTGGGACACTGCACTTGCCTACTCAGTATAATTTGCTCTAATGCGAGGAGCTCAGAGAGCCTTTTCTTGATATGCCCAATCCTCCATTCTGAAGCAACGGGTCTTTTACTTACCTGTTGTCACCTCTATGCTCAAAATGTTGGCAGCGGGGTCAGTGTCATTGCCTTGAATTGGGAAACTGAGGCTGTTCAGGTAAGCTTTGACAGGATCCAGGAAGGAGGCATTTTCAAAACTGATCTCAATATCAACAGTGTACTCTTTCACTGGAGGACGACTCGTGGCAACTGAAATGAAGCATAAGAAACCTGTGAGAATTGTATGCATCCATATAACCATAACTAATGGACATAAGACACTGGGGGGTAAGGGAGGGCAGGGGCGTGTCAAGGGTGGGGGGGGGGGAAAAGGACACTTATGTAATACCCTTTGTAATACTTATAGCGAAAAATAAAAAAAAAAATAGGAACATGTGGATGCTGGACACATTTAACTGTGGGTGGTGAAGGGAGAACACGGTAGACATTTTAGCACTTAAAGGTGATGACAGGAACATGTGGGTGCTGGACACATTTGCCTTTAAGAATTTCTAGAAAAGCCCTGGCTGATTTGGCTCAGTGGATAGAGTGTCGGCCCATGGACTGAAGGGTCCTGGGTTCGATTCCTGTCAAGGGCACAGCATGCAGGAGGTGGCCAATGTTTCTCTTTCTCTGTCTCTCCCTCTCCCTTCCACTCTCTCTAAAAATCAATGGAAAATTATCCTTAGGTAAGGATTAACAACAATAACAACAAAAGAATTTCTAATGAACTTTTTAGAGCAGTGGTTCTCAACCTGTGGGTCGAGACCCTTTTGGCAGTCGAATGACCCTTTCACAGGGATCGCTTAAGACCATCCTGCATATCAGATATTTACATTACGATTCATAACAGTAGAAACATTACAGTTATGAAGTAGCAACGAAAATAATTTTATGGTTGGGTTACAACATGAGGAACTGCATTTAAAGGGCCAGAAGGTTGAGAACCACTGTTTTAGAGGAAAAGAAGAATTTGTATACTGACCACCACCAAGCCCCCTCATGGTGCATCCTCTGGACAACTTTACTGTTTGAACCAGTGGTTCTCAACCTGTGGGTCGCAACCCCTTTGGGGGTCGAACGACCCTTTCACAGGGATCGCCTAAGACCATCTGAAAACACATATATAATTACATATTGTTTTTGTGATTAATCACTATGCTTTAATTATGTTCAATTTGTAACAATGAAATTGGGGGTCACCACAACATGGGGCACTGTTTTAAAGGGTCGCGGCATTAGGAAGGTTGAGAACTACTGATTTAAACCACGAAGGCAACTGAACTGGTCTGTCTGGTCTCAGAGCAGTGGTCTCTGGCCATTTAAGAGATTCGCAGGCTAAGCTCAGGACTTGTCCTTCTTCTCCGTTCCCACACCCTTCTTCGTGTCCAAGGCCAAGGACCTCCGTGTGGAGAATGGACTGTGATGGGACAAGAATAGAAGCAGAGACCTAGCACGCAGGCTTTGGCAACAGTCTTGACAGTAAATGCCAATACATGTCCTGACTCACCAGATGACTCAATATGTTTCAAACACCATTGATTGACATGCATGTATTTTGAGAGCTGGACTTCGCAAACTTGAGACCTCTGGGAAAAGTCATCTAGTTAATTCCCTTTGCTCCTAGCCTGGCGTGGCTTTCGGTTTTTACTCTGTGTTTCAGAATATGATAGGTGTTCCACAAAAGCGAAGTTGGCAAGTTGGAAAGTAAAATGAAAGTAATCTTCAGTTCTTCATTGTTTTTCTAAATTGTCTTCTGGCTGGTTGACAGGCTATCATTCTAGATGCATCTGGCCCCCAATACATACATGCCCACTGCAGGCAGGGCAGACAGTATATGTGTATCTCTATATCTATATCTATTCTTTCATAGTTTCCTATATGACATCATGTCTGGCCCACTAACGTAAGCTCCTCAAGGACAGGAACTGTTTCATTTCTCATGGCCTTACTCACTCCATCTGGCCTGGAGTCACCACATAATAAGTTTAATCTGTGACTCTGAGTTGTGACAGATCCCTCACCTCTATGTCACTGTCAGAATTCTTGGCTCATTCTTGGCTGAAATATATAACTGGAGCAGAAGCCATAGACTAGGTTAGAAGCTAATGAACAACCTTCAAAAATTAAGAAAATTTTCTACAGATACATTGAGAAGGCAAGTTGTGGTCTATTTTATTTTGTCAGTCAAGTAAGAAAAAGATAAGTAAATACCTACAAAGCGATTACCTTAAAATTTAAGTTAAATCTGGACCTATGATGCATATTTTACCATACAATGAAAAATTCTAAGTCTATTTTCTAAAAGGGCAAAGAATGTCTTCCATAAAATTGCAAGATTTGCTTTCAATGTTTCCAAGGATTATTTATGTGAAACACTAAAGTAGAGTAAGTTTACTATGGGAAATTCCAGTTGATAGATGTTTATGGTAGAAAACCGTAATGTTTGTTCACTTACAGTTGCAAACTATGTTTGTCTTAGCATGTTGGTTTAAGTCCTCAACCTTGTTGAGAATTATTTCATTTTTGGCATCATTCAACTTAATATAATTAACACAAACTGTAAAAATGCAGATTTTCTTAAAATTAAGAATGCACTTTGCCCTGGTTGGTGCTGCTCACTGGTTAGAGCATTTGCCCACATAACGAAGGGTCTTGGGTTGAATTCCAGTCAAGGACACATTCCTGGGTTGTTGGTTCACTCCTAAGTTGGGGGGCGTGCCGGAAGCAACCACATTGATGTTTCTCTCTCCTCCTCCCTCCTTCCCTTCCACTCACTCTCTCTGAAAAGCAGTGGAATACATATCCTCGGGTGAAGATTAAAACAACAACAAAAAAGAATGCACTTTAAGGTGTATTTTCTCCTTTTAAAAATATATTTCCTGCAGAACATGTGACTTTTAAAACCCAATCTCAGTCTGTCATACTATGCTGTTGCCTCAAATTTCCTGGTTTTCTTTTTTTCTGATTCTCAAATGGTTTTGCGATGAAAGCAAGCTTTGGGGTGGTGGTCCGGGGAACTGCTTATCTTGATTTATGTGATCTGAACTAGACACAGTATGTTGCCCCTGGGAACATTTGCAAGGAGGGTAGGGTGGCTGCATATTTACAAGGTCTGCCTTAGAGCACATTCTTTTTCCTGAAAAGTAGTGCAGTAATATTTATACCCTCCAGAGGATTCCTAGCTCCAGGATCCTCTTTGCTGTGGTCAGTCAACTCTCCTCCCATGAATGTAAACAGGATTTCCTGGACGGGAGCTGCTTTTGAGATGAATGAGGTCTATAACAATTCCATATCCCCCACTTCATCACCTGCATTGTTGCATCCCAGGGTCTGATCTCAGCATAATATTAATGTCTGTCTGAGGGCCCTGTCTGCCTCCCACCTGTAAGCCCACCGCTCTGTGCTCTTTGCAGACTTAATTGCAGAACAAGCATGGGCCTGGAAAGCACGTGGTGATTCATGGATGTCATCACTCCCCACTGAAACCAAGGCAGTGAGTTCTTCCTCTGAGATCTCCCAGGGAGCTGAGCCAAAAACTTAAAATGCTATGAGGAAAGTTCCTGTGCCTCTAGCAAGTCCCAGTCTATGGGATCTGTGCAACTACTAATAAGAGCACCAGCCTCTAAGGCCCTCTGTCCCTTATCCACCTTTTATGTTCACTAACTTCTAAAGGAGTTTCAGAGTAACCCTTGGCCCGAGCATCACTTCTCCCTGATCAAAGACTGGTAAGTATGAGAATCTCTAATAGAAAAGGAAACATCTTCTCCTTCAAAATGGCCAGTTCTTCCAAACAGGCTAAATAAATAAATAAATACCCTAGTAACTCAGAAGGCTTTGGGCTTGCCATTGGGAATCCCGTATTCCAGTGTCGCCCACACTTGACTGATGATTACACCCACATAGGGAATTCTACACACACAGATATGTTGAGGCTTCCGCCTACGTGAGCCAAAGTAGAGTCTTGATGGGGGAGGCCCAGAAATGTGAATTTTTCCCAATTCCCACAGGTGCTTCTGGTGATCAAGCAGGTTTGGGATCTAATATTCGAATCCAAATGAGGAAACTGAGAAGGTGATCTAGGAGAACCAATATGAACCCATAAGTTTGTTCTTGGCTTTAGCGTGGATTTTTGTTTTCAACACCATCTGCTGGTGCTCCTATGGGGGAACAATCATGCAGTCTCCAAGCATATCTGCTTACTCTTATTTTTCCTCTTTTGCTTTGAGAGAACTGATACTTGCTCACCTCTTTCTTCAGGGATACCGAATAGATTCCAGGTGATCATAATGATAGTAACAATAATAATAGCAGCTGCCATTTATCCATTACCTGCTGGGTTCGAGGGCCATGAGAACAGTATACAAACCCTCATTTTGCAGATGACAAAACTGAAACCATATGGACAGCAAATTTTAGAACTGGGATTTGAAGCTATATTTTTCTGACTCCAAAGTCCATTTTATTTTAATTATATTCTTCCATGACTCAAACAGGAGATGATAATGAAAGTGCCCACTTTGTAAATCTTAAAGGACCATAAAAATATGAGGTATTATTGTTAAATGTGTCTTTGGGAAATGTGCAATTCCCAAAGTATGTTTTGAAATAATATTAAACTCAAAGGCAAAATTATTAATGATAAATGGAAGAATTAGCTAAAACTTTGCTCTATTTGCGTCAGCATAATAAATGTCTTAGAAATCCATGGTGAAGAAAGACACAATGACCCACCACCATTGGCATTTGTGGATTTTGACACTGACCCTTGCTCAGTTGGTTTGTTCCTTGGTTTATCTATATATATAAAAGCCTAATATGCTTATTGTCTGACCATTCGACCAGTCGATATGATGCGCACTGACCACCAGGGGGCAAACGCTCCTACTGGTAGGTTAGCTTGCTGCTGGGGTCCGGCCGATCGGGACTGGGCAAGACAGGCCAGACACACCTTGGAGCCAACCTCCCGCGGTCCCTCCCTGGCCTCTAACATATTTCTTCTAATTAATTTCTTTTCAATGTGCAAGAATCCATGCACCGGGCCTCTAGTTGATTTATAAGTAACATTACTATATATTGAGTGGCTATTTCCCAGGCACTGTGCTTGGTGCTGGGGACACAGGGCATATTCTGCTCACAGCCTCAGACAGGCCTACAGTTTGAATAGAAATGTCAATCTCTGCCTCCTCTCCTGTCCCAAACCTGAGGAC